ATTAAAAAATAGTTAAAAACAGTTATAACAAATAGCATATGTGATTTTATGCGTTTTAGGCATTGAAGACAAATGTAAAATTAAATACAAAAAAACTATATCAAGCCGATGGTTATGCAGTAAAAGAAATGTTGAAGATAGCTACGCTGTTATATGATGCGCAGAACTGTAGTAATATTGAACAGAATCAATCAAGCAACAATCAGAATGCAGTGAATTTCGACATTTCCGATAAAATTAATGAACTGAAAACAACTCGACAGTTAGCAAGCCAATTAACCATCAATGGAGCGGCCCTCTTCGACTTACTTGGCCGAGAAGTGGAACTTCGTGAGATTCGAAATACTAAAATTGCTAGGCAATTCGATACTTCCGAAATAGAAGTAGCTCTAAAAGATGTCATCGAAAACACGCGCAAAGAGATTAGTGAAACGAAGAAGCAAATCGACAATGTTAAGGTAAAATTTTTTATTTAATAAGATAATTCTTGTATGTTCAAAATTTAAATTGCTCGTTTGATTTCTACAAAAATATTTCATTACGTCATGCCACAGTAATTTCATTAATTAATAAATTAATTTATTTTTACAGGATACAGAACAAAATTTGGATGCAAGAATTGAGAGACGGAAAACAGAACTCGATCGAAATCAAAAGAGACTCCACACGTTGAAGAAAGTCCGTCCAGCATTCATGGAGGAGTTCGAGAAGCTCGAAATCGAATTTAGAGCTTTATATGATGATTATTTACAGAAATTCCGGTATCTCGCGTATTTGGAACATTTGTATGAAGACGCAGCTAAGATGGAACAAGAAAGATTCGAAAGACGGTATTTGTCAATAACAAATATTTGAAAACAAGATTCAAAAAATACATATATCATAAATAACATACAAATAAATTATGTAATATAATTATGTAATGTTATTAATTTTAATCATAGGCAAGCTGCAACGAAAAAACAATTGGAACAACTGAGAGGTGAAGACACGAATTTCGAAAGTATGATGGAAGGAAATGATTCTATATTTGCTACGAATCTTCAAGAACCTCTAGTTACTCCCCTTACAAATCCGGAAGCCACAGCAGCAGAAAAACCTGGTCAATCCGGCCATATTAAATCAAGTAACAATTTTTATTATAGAAAATAATTCGCACTTAAATTTTTTTGGAGTAAAATCTTCATTGCGAGGAATTTAGAGAGCATGTTATGTGATATTGTAATTTTGAAAATCACTTGCAAATAAAATTTTGGAAAATATAATAAAGAGATATATGAAAGAATATAAGTTTTTCTAAACTTTTTGGTAATAACAAATTTATAATGTTCCAGCTACTGGAAGAGCGTCAAAGATACAATATACTCAACGACGCATTTATGGTAGCATGTCTGGACGGCAAAGAGGTACGATTCCTGAAAACGATAGTGATGGTTCACTGGATAGCGATAGTGATTTATTGATTGACGGAGATCTTGACGATGATGACGATGAAGATCTTTTAAATTCCGTGGGTGCGACAGATATGGGTAGCTATAATCTCAAAGCCGCTCCAGAAAAACGAGCCGTCAGTAAGATAGAAAGGCATTCGGATGATGATTTTTAATGAATATATAATGTAATCTCTATCGATTATTCAGATTAGTTTTATATATTAAAGGTTAATATCGAATAAAGAAATAAATAATAATCGACAAAATAAACAAATTCTAATTTTGATCGTTAAGGTATTCTTTTTTTTAGATATATTGTTACATTGTCGTGTGTGTGTGTGTGTGTGTGTGTGTGTGTGTGTGTGTGTGTGTGTGT